AAAGTGCACAAATGTGGGAAAACGAAACAAAGCCGCTTGGTGTAACTTCTCGGTATCCTCCAAAAAGTCCACTGAAAAAATCTCAGTAAATGACCACCATTTTACTGAGATTACATTTCATCCCATATCATCTCATTTCATTTAATTTAATCCCAGTTGATTAATGTCTCAAATTAATCATCTTCATTTTATCACATTTCATTTCACTCCTTATTATCATTTTTCATAAAAATAAGATTATTTAAATTAAAATAAGACATGACTTAAAGGTCTTAGTAACCAGGTCATAAAATCCCTTAAAAAAGTGTGTGTGTCCGCTCCGACGCACGACTGGAGTTTACTGGATATAAAAAATTAAACGAAACAATACGAGAAATAGTTCTATATTACGACAACACGATACACTACAGATTATTAACAAATTAACGAGACACAAAACAAACGACTAACAAATATATGAAAATACAATAATGAGAGAAACGCGCGATCAGTACGAGGCTTTGTGGCGGACTGCCGGCGCAGCAGCCCGGCGTCACCTGCGATAACGCGGCCGCGCGTTGGCTCCTGATTGGCGCGCGCACGCATCACGCAATCAGGAGCCAATCAGGCGCATCGTTTTCGTGTGACATGCTAGTACGATTTTGGTCCCCATAATTTTCATACCCCGGGCCTATATATGTAAATCGATTCTAAAGGAGTAAACTCCAAAAATATTATCTTTGAGACTTTTTGGCGGGAACGCGAGGAGTGAACACCACTACGAGTATGTAGGTATGTAAGCTACTTACTCCATACTTACTCGTTTTTGTGTAGTCGATAGTACTCTAAATTAAGTTCTGACTTCTTCTGACACAGACACATCGGTCTTAAAGTTTTATGCGTTTAAGTTTAGCTTTCATTGGTAAAGAGAAACAATCATATGTATTAGTTTGTATAGGTAGAACTAAGAGCTTTATTGTATTTTATTTTTGTTGGTATTTTGCCATACTGTCGATACTCTCAACAAATTAATTTCACCACGAAGAGGCTAATAAAATATTTCTAGAATAGTGCATCATGCATGATTGTTGAAGATGATTTGATGATTTGATTGAAGAAATTGAGTTAATAGAGCAGTATATTTCAAATATGTACTTCAATTTTATTTCTTTATTTTTATACCCAATAGTTGAACTGACCGGAACCGATGGAGGCTAACAGTCGACAAGCTAAAACGGAGCCACGATCCTCAGCAATGAGGGAGCGATGGAGAAGAAGAAGAAGAAGAGTTGAAAACAACTAGCAAAGTAAGTAAAATAAATGTAATAGTTACAGTTACACAATTCGCAAATCTTCTGGGTGAATAAACGATAACATTATATGACCACGCAACTATTATCGTTAAAACAACCTAATTCATAAAAAAAACATTAACATTGTATTACTTACATACGGCATACTTATATACGGCCAAATATTTAATGGCAATTGCAACTTTTTCGGAAGTAGATTAATTCGGGAAGCAGCTACTCTTGAGTTGTTGGGTCTCCTTTGCCTTGGTTGGATCCAGATTTGGCACCAGAAGGGGGTCACATAGTCGCGGTCAAGTCAAGAACTTATAATTGAATTTTGATAACAATAGATACAAGTAAAAAGTAGGTATTTTATTAATGTACGTAAGTACTGTACTTAAAAATGTTTATTCTTTAATGTACACTTGAAAAACTTAACACATAATAACTTGTACATATACACATACATATTTCCATGTTCTTGTGAAGACATCCAGAGAAGCACTATCACGCTTCTTTTTTTTTCCCTTCCTAATCTGATAGCCTTGAGAGGCTATTTCAGCGGAACTTTAACTAGTAGGTCAGCTCACGGGGCTCAAACCTGAGGACGTTAATAACACGAACCCTAGCAAGAGCCGTGCTTCGCAGAATCTACCACCGGATCGAAAACGCGACCCACTGAGAAGATCCGGCGAGAACCTCAGTGGGCTGTGTCTCTGGGTTAGTTCGCTGTCGAGCCCTTCGTCGCAAGCGACGGGTTCGACGAGAACGATGACCGGTGCTTGAGGTGCCTAAAAGCACCGTTAGTGGATCGGGAAGATCCGAAATGACGTGTTTGGGGCGACTTCGACAGCTTTCCATTAACACGCACAGAATGAGGCAGCCTATTTATATTCCATAGTCGTGGTGATTGATTTGCCTTATCAGCTAGAGGTATGTCAAGGGGTATGACGCAAAGTTCCGCAAAAGTGAAGAGGTGGTACGAAAAGGGTTTCCAATATCATTAAAAATAACTGAATTTATTAAAACCCCGCCAATCGTACTTTAACGACTAATTGGCCGTCTTCACTGACATTATTTTGTACAAGTATGGTTGAAGTTTGTTGAAGTTTTCAATATTTTTTGATCTACATAAGAAATAATTAGACAGTATAAACGCACTTGTTAACAAAACGCTAGGGCCATTGCCAGCTGACTGACAAAAGCGGCGCATGTGCAATGAAGGCACGAGGTGATGGTTTGCTTAATAGATGTAAAATAATCCGAACAAAAACAGTTTCACTGTAAAAAATTGCGCCAAGTCCACGTTTATAAAACTCATCTCAATAACATTTGCACTTTACAAAAAAAAGAAGACTTCAATAGCTTTCATTCTCTACAAAAATATGTGAAATACAAAAAAATACCAAGAAACCGTCATAAAGATGAAAAAATAAAAAAAAAATTGTTGAAAATTTNGCGGCCGTAGATTACCATTCTCGAATATTTATAGTCTGTGGCATGTCACTTTTTACATCGAAAAAAGTCAGGATCGAAATTTTTGAGCGAGCCATAGTTTGTGGTGATAAAATTAATAATTTCAAGTAGATTAATTGTTGTAATTGATATAACTAGTTAATATCAGTAAAATAAAGTTGTGAGTGATTGATATAATATACAATTTAGGAGCCAGAAGTACCGTAGAATTAAATAAAATTTCGCAACCTCAAAAAACTGTTCTGCTCACAGTAAACACAGTCGGTAGTCTGGCGCTCCGTTTACAACGGGATTTTTGAACGGAACTTGGCGCCAGATTCTACCGAATCTGTGGATTAATAGTTGGAAATTTAATTATTTTTATGATCGAACAATCACCAATAGTCGTCGGACAAACGATAATTGATCAAAATTAATTAATCTGAGCGATAAAAATAAAGATATCTAGTAAGAGAGGCCAACTTAAGGGTGATCATTTGCTTAATTAATTATAAATTAATAAAAGACGAACAAATTTTTTTTACATTCGAACATTAATGAGCAAACAACGAACAAATAATGAAGACTTTAAAAAATCTGAAAATCAAAAAAAGAGGGGCCAAATTCAGTGAGCCGTATTACAGTTACAGATCTCAAATATATTAAGTGTATAATCTATGGATACAGAATTGCATAGATTATACACAACAAAAGACATGCGAAGGCTGAATGTCGTCGCTTTGTCTCAGCAATTTATTTAATTGCAGTTCGCGGTTGCCGCGAGCTAATAGTTTTATCTATCGTATTTTAAAGCCTCATTTAAAATATTTGTAAATGTTTAATTAATGTAAAGGTGCCTTTTAAGTGAATCGTGATAAATTGTGAGTAAATTATTAATGTACGTGGCCCGGTCAGTATTCCAAGAAACTACACAATTCTCCATCAAGATCCGGAAACCTACTTATTATGTTGATATATTGTAAAGTGTATTTATTTTGTTTTAATTGAAGAATCTATCGCTTAATATGCTAGTGCATTGGACTGCTGCAGAAATTTGTTACACATTGAGTTAATTAATAATCGAAATCGCGTATTACAGGAGCAATCGTAATCGTATCATTGGGTTGGATTGAAATTGTCAGAAGCCAGTGACCCGTGGTGTATTCGTCAAAATGTTCCGAAGTAAAATAAGGATTCACACGTGTCGTATTATCCTGCTGACGTCCTTGGCTTGGTTACTGGTGGACGTTATGCTGCTGGCTATGTATTCGGACTGCTTCGGCGACGGATGTAATAAGAAGACTGTTACTAGTGAAATTTCAATTGGGGTAATTAAAAATAAAATATCGATAAAACGCACATAATTATGCATATAAGAATATTTACGAATTTCGGATTAAAATCACACAAAAGTGGTGAAAGCATATTGAAATATGAATAATTTTTTTACATTTACAAAGGATCATCTCCAGTTAAGAAAACAACATAAGTGTTCTGATTCATAATAAATTTCCATTAATCGAATTAAAGTAGTCCTAACATTTATGAAATTTTAGATTAAGAAGTAGAATACGGTTAACTGTTAAAATCATTATTAACAGACGCAAATTAATATGCTTGTGTGGAAACTGGAAGAGGCTAACTTCATTTTCTGATTCTAAATTAATTATTCAATGACAAACAAAGTAAGGTACTTTTAAATATTTATGTAAGATTTTTAAAACTATAAAGAGTAAGACAAATTAGGAGCTGCTTGATAGCTAGAAGTTTACTTTCTGATCTTTAGTTTTAAAGTTTCTTCATAGATCTGATTTAATTGATGTATTGAATGTAATTATTATTCTTTGTAAATAAATATGAATATTGTTATTAGAAGGAGGCATACAAAGGGAAAAAAGCAGCAATTGCTGCAGCACTTCAACAGGATGTAGGTGATGATGATACAAATTTAGAAGAGAATGTATTGGGCCAAGAGGTCGAGGATGATGGGGTTTTATTATCTCCATATCCAAGGTCAAGACTCAAAAGGTGGCAGCGAGCACCTTCTGTGATACCCCAGGGAGAATCACCTGGTGAAATGGGTAAGTAGTTCAGCTTGAGTAATTTTTATCAAATTTAATTGACTTGTTTTGTAATAATGTTAATTTTCAAGTTATAAAACTTATGCAGATAATGAAAATGTGAAAAATAGACAATTTTCTGGGTTACTGAATTAGCAATAAAGTTATTGTGATGTAAGTTTTCAAGGTGATATATCACATTATTTTTTCAATATTAGATTCGTAATGTTGTGCTCAGGACTGCTTATCTTTTTCAGCAGTATTTAAATGAGAAAAATATTCCATATGGTATATCATAAAAATATACTATATCTCAAAGAGTCTCATATAGTCTTGTAAAATATATTTTTAAAATATTTTTATTAACTCCATTTCCATTTAATCCATTTAATTCCATTTATTGGTATATTTTTTTGTACCATTTAATATGCAAGTTGGTTTGGGACAGCCTCTGTTCCTTTTGCCAAATACTTTCCTGGTCAGTGCTCTCTTGGATAGGTGGGTATGTGCTTTCTTAATGTGTGGCCAATCCAGTAGTAATTCCGCGTACGGATCTTCCTCTATTGCTGTCTGCTTGGTGATCCTCCACAATTCATTGTAAGTAGTTGTCTCAGGCCAAAAGCTTTTTAAAATCGGACATAGGCATTTATTCACAAACAGTGGATTGATGCAAATAGAAGAATTTATTTCAAACCCTACACCCCAGTAGAGTAATACGAAAGAAAGAAGAAGAAGATTTAATATGCAATAATCTCTGTCTAACATGCTGTGAATATGGACAAGACTAAATCAATGTCATTTAGTTTTTCCTTTTGGCTTAGGATCCCTACACCTATTGATACTACCAATAGGTGATCAGTATCAGTTTTAATGCAATAGTAAGACCCAAAATTAGGGTACAAACCAACTAATACAAATGTAATATTAATTAATTCCCCTCCACTTGTAATGACTATCTAAACTGGCTTACATCAAAGTTGTAAATATTTTTTTGACCTTAACCTTAATAAATAATAGTTCATCATTATCATTTGACTAATCACCATTTTTAATTTCAAGGATTTTAATTCTGTCATAGTACCATCCCTTGTTTACATGTACACAGAACATCTTATCTTTTAGCTCAAAAATATTGCGTTATAAACGTTCTCGTTTCTGAACATAATTCCGGTAGCCATTGGTGCGCTTTTAATAACATAAATGGGTCATCTTAAACAACTTAAAGGAATAAATACTTTCTGAGAATCCTAAGCACTTCGACGTTATTACCGTTAGCATTCGCATTGCTGATGTCGAGTATGAGCGACGGTTGATCACTCACAAATAGTTTCGAAGTATTGGAGTGACCATCTTTATCGAAACCCAAATTGTGTCGTCTGTAGTACCTTTAGGTTGAATTTAAGCAAGATACACACATACTCGTCTATTATGCCACATAAAATATTGTGTAGTACCTTTAGGTTGAATTTAAGCAAGATACACACATACTCGTCTATTATGCCACATAAAATATTGTGTAGTACCTTTAGGTTGAATTTAAGCAAGATACACACATACTCGTCTATTATGCCACATAAAATATTGTGTAGTACCTTTAGGTTGAATTTAAGCAAGATACACACATACTCGTCTATCACGCCACTTAAAATATTGTGTCTCTAGCACTCTGTAACTATGATATGCACCTATTTGACCTATTGCGAACAATTAGTCTCAATTAGTGTACAAGAGTTGGGTGTATTGCATAATATAGAGATTCAGCATCATAACCAACTGACTCAAAAAATTATCAACTTTAAAATCTTTCAAATGAACTTATTAAATTTGAAAATTAAATCAATAAAAAAGTTTACCGACTAGTTAAGTAGCGATAAGGCCGCCCATTGTACTTTTTGTGTATTTTAATGTTTTGTATTGGTGTACTCAACTCTAAACTTGAGGCTTGGTCACTTACCATTGTACTGGTGTACCGTTTCCAATCTGCAGTTAGTGGTCCGCAGTACAGAGGATTACTTCCTGAGTACAGAGGATTAGTACTCCCTAATTCCAGCTTGTTCAGGAGCCAGTCATCATTGACGCCCTACACACATTCATATGGGTTCATCCGATCCATTAACACTGTTGTTAGACGCCTGGAGCTCTAGTACTAGAAGCAGGCATAGGGTGACCGTACGCGTCGGACTCTTCAAAGAAGGTTCGACTCTTTGAAGAGATCGACGTGACATCTAATTCATCAGCCCACTGACTTTTACGCCGCGTCTTCTCAGCGAGACGCGATTTCGATGCGGTAGTTGATGCATTTGCAAGCAGTTGTCCATGAGCTCTTGGGTCTCCTTCGGAGGCATTCGGGCCGCTGCTAGCAAATCCCACCCCTTCTGCTTTTTCATGGCTTATTCATTTATTGACCGAGTCCATATCCAATAAAATTGCTTCCGTCCACCCCCAGCCATAGGCGCTGTCATAGTGCTTCCGATACGACAGCACTGTGTAATTACTAATCGAAATGTATTCTTCTGAGCTCCTGTGTCAGCTGCAAGACCGATGGTCTTGAGAATCGACGCGAATCACTACGACACGTAGACCGTCCAGATTGTCTTCACCTTCACCTGACTAGAAGAAGGACGTGTCACGTTTTTGCCGCTCACTGTTATGTAACAATGCTTTCTAAACGCAATATCTTTCACTCGGATTCAAATAGAAATATTTTTGATTCCGAGTCACCATTATCATTTGGATGGCTAGGGTGCCGATTTTTTAGGTAAAACATACAAAATATGTCGCTAAAACTACTCGAAAAACCTTTTTTGCCAGTGCTGGTAAGGATTTTTGTTCCACGCGTATTATTTTTTCAGAGCACGAGATAAACCTTTTATAGGTTTGCGATCTCGTTGACCGTGATTCCACTTACTCTCAGGTGGATTGTAGCCAAGTCTGACTTCTACGGTAGCAAAAAAGAGAAAAACTGCACGGACGCGAAGGTTATTAATTTAGAATTCGTCATTACGCAGATAGTGACTAGACGGACGTAGGCAGATATAATATAGTAGGTATTGGCATTTGAGCTTAGAAATATTCTGATATATTTCATAGCTCTAAATGCTTTATTTAATATAAATCTCATCCTTGAGTACTATAGAAGTGCTTTGTTCCCTACCTATTCGCTGGTAGCTAAAAAGGCCATTCCAGCTACGTCCGGACGGGTAGGAGAGCTCACGGGTTCAACCTGAAAGAATTTGCTAACACTGGCCCTAACAAGAGCAGTGCTTTACAGTATTTACCACCGGTTCGGAATCGCGACCCACTGAGAAGATCCGACGAGAACCTCAGTGGGCTGTGTCTCTGGGTTAGTTCGCTCGTCGAACTCTGTCGTTATTGACGAGTTCGACGAGGACGGTGACCGGGGCTTGAGAGGCCTAAAAGCACCGAGAGTGAATCCAGGGGATTCTACAAGACATATTTCAGGCGACGCGGCGACGGCGGCTTTGCGTTGCCCCGTCGAGGTTGAACCAGCAATCATGGGTGCTAATTACTATACCATCGCGCCGTTTGAAGATCACAGCGTATTACGTTTATATAAATGCCGTCAAAAAGTATGTTATTTAATATACCATAAAACTCCATACATGCTGATTTATGCATATGCTAGCCATTACGGCTTGTGTTATGTTTCCCGTTCTCCCGAAGAGGACCATAGATCTACTCCTTCATGCACCTGCAGGTCGTAATTTATCCAAACGCCTAATTTTCGTTTGATAAACTTTGGGACGAGCTACCAACAATGATTAGACTAGAGTAAAGTGTACTTGATTGTATACTAAATAATGTATGTACATAGAAAACTTCGTCTACAATATTTGTAAAGAGAAATAATTGTAGGTATAATTTAACGGAACTTAATTATTGCACCAAAATGAAACAAAAGTCACAGAAACTACAAAGGGTACTTTTTTACTACTTTCACTATATGTATCATATTGATTAAACGGAAAAAAATACATGTTAGTTATTTGTTTAAATTATCACTGCTCTATTGCCTCACTTTATTTAATAAGAACATCTTTTTGAATTGGGATATCTGTATAAGCTTACATCAACCTGATGGTGAGTGGTTACCGTCGCTCATGGTCGTCAGCAATGCCAGGGGCAAAGTCAAACCGCTGCCTACCTCAACGATCAGATTGTAATAAATAATTAAAAGACATAATAAAAACGTAATAAATTAAACCTAGAACGACCAATATCGTCGAAACGCTTAGATAAGGAATCAAATCAAGGTAAATATTACAATTTTTACCGACTCGAGCTGGTGCATAATTAACAGCGTTGTGTTAAAATGTAAATTGTACGTTGGCCTTTCTCTAACTCCAAGTAATAGCTTCATTTAAACTTTCAAATGAAGGCATCTCTTAATATCATATCGTAATAGCTGCTGATGTTCAATATTGGTACTAGCAACGACTCTGCGTTCGCAATAGAAGATCTGAGCGATGTGATTACGCACGAACTTTCCCACAACATTGACTATTGAATGATGTTCGCCGTTGATTGCAAAAACAATAGTGCAAGTCTACGTGTATTGTTTTGTGAATTTCCATTCATCGTGCGTGCGCGGCTGTTACCGCGTCAAAGTTGATTAAAAAAAAATCGAATTCTGCGTGAACTGTTTGATGGAGCGATTGCATGCCAGCGGTGTTTGTCGATAAGCATATAGCACTTAAATCCTAATCCCATTTAAAACGTACCTTTTCCTTTAGCTACATTTATGAATATGTAAATATTTGTACGCCAGTGAGGTAAAACATGTTTTTTTTGTACCGTATCATCTTGATAAATGATAATGGGCTTTAAACAGTATTTTTTTTTACATTAGGAACAATATTAAATTTAATTTAAAGTTTCAGCTGTATTGATGTATTTTCCGTTTTCAGGTAAGGCTGTGAACATTCCGATTGAACAGGAGAAGTTGATGTTAGATAAATTCCAAGAGAACCAATTCAATCTGTTGGCCAGCGATATGATCTCACTCAACAGGTCACTGACCGACGTCAGATTCGAAAAGTAAGTGACATTGATTCGGTTCATATGATATATAGAATGTTGAATAATTGTGGTTTCGAGGGGGGGTTCTAGAAAAACATGTAATTGAATATTTTTTTTGCATCTTATTAGTAGGTGATATAAAAAAAATAATGAAATAGGAATGTATACGACACATGGCCTTTTCAATGACTGCCGCATTCAATACGAAGCCTGATGATTTACTTATATTTATTTACTAAAAAATAACTATTGTTTATTTGTGTTCCACGCGTTCACACGTTATCCGATTGAGTCGAAACTTTATAGAGTTCTCGTTGGCGATTTAAACTATCTTGCTTGCATAGAACAATGTGCAAAAGGTAGCACACGAAAACTTTCAAGAAATTGGTGTATTCGAAGAATTTAGCAAATTTTTAATGGCGCGTTCGGGGCTCCCTTAATTTCCAATAATATTTAATTTTACGATGCAATAATTCCCAATTACAACTCTTACGATTGGGAGAAAAACATTGTCTCCAAGACTCTTTTTTTATATTGGCAGTAACGCATCTACAGTACCTAAATCATATTAGCACTGAATGATAATTATTAAAATTAACAATGATAGGGATCAATTGCGTTATCAAATCGTTTTACTAATAATTTTATAATCGACTTAAGAGATAATTGAATTTACTGATGATCGACGCTACTTTGATAAGGTGATTACATTGAATTGCATTTTGCACAAATAATATACTTAATGTTATGTAATTATTGAAATACTCTATTTACGCACCCAGTTGGCAGCGACAGGTTTGGTTTTACTCGTACGACGAACTTTCATGATAGGCAAAAAGCGACTGTAGGCTCCGCCATAATGATATAGGGAAGCTTTTGTCGGAAGGCGGGAGTTCTTCCAAGTCTAGATTCCCCACACCACCTCTTCGGTATGTAAAACAAACGGGTCGAGCGAACGGCCATTCTACAAAACAGTTCTCTGTGCTTAGTGCCAATTTTTTAACTTCTCGATCGCGTAAACGTTAACTCAAATTTGTGTGAAGTTGGAACAGCGCCCCTAGCGGCAAACGAAGGGAAGTTAACCATTACGCGATCAGGAAGTTTAAAAACTCGCACTAAGCACACTGGTCTCGTGAAGAGTATTGCTGTCATATTTGAATCGGGACTCTAGCTACTTTTAACGGCCTAAGAACTTTTTTTCAAATCTCGAATATGGTTTTAGTCTGTCAGATCGCTTGGAAATTTTATCCACGGACACTCACCCGCCATTACAACAGAACTCGTTCCTTTTACTTGTAATAGCTGCGTTGATTCACAATACTCAATCCATAGACACAACCCACCAAGTTTCTCGCCGGATCTTCTCAGTGGGTCGCGATTCCGATCCGGTGATAAATTCAGTGTAGCACTGCTCTTCCTAGGGCTAGTGTAAGCAAATTATTTCAGGTTGAGCCCGTGAGCTTATCTGCCTATCCGCACGTAGTTGGAATAGCCATTTAAGTTACCAGCGAATAGGTAGGGAATCACAATTCTTTACGAGATATCATTTACGCCTTGCACCGGGTCTGGGTTGCATTAGGGTTTGAAATAAAGCTTCCACCTTATTTTTATGTTACATGCCTCACTTTAAACGAATTTGAAGTGGCTTGCTGTATAGCATAATGACATCTTATCATCATTATTATCTCTCTGATTGCGGCACTTAGTAAAGCAAGTAATAGTTTCCTTAAGATGTAAACTCTACTTATTCACGGACTGTCCGTAACACATTCCATCCACATCAGTTAGATACATCCCCAATATTCCAGCTCCTAACAAGCTCACACTCACCAAGAAAATTTATAAAACTGCAGCTCTTATTAAAAATCAATAATAAAAATAACAAATTCGAATATTTTTTTACATTCGAACAGTATTCACATGCATTATGTCAACCGTAGACATCTGTTATAAGATTTGGTGAAAGTGAAATCGCGCTCAATAGGTAATCGTAACGGCTAGAACTAAAATACAAGATGAGATAATAGTTTTTAAATGTAAATTTATTCCAATCTTTTTATAGTGAAATGCACTAGTTGTTATTTTCAAAACTATTTTTATTTGTTTGGTGTTTGCAAAAAAGTATTACGAATTTATGGTTATTAACTTGCAGTGATATTATTATATACCTTACCTTAAGGTTATCCATATGTTAGTTCGCTTTGAAAGCACTAAAAATCGTAAGCTCTATAATCGCCGGTAGCCTCGAAGTACTCGTAGCTGAACTTACTTAATTCAACCTAACATTAGCCCTAGCAAGAGTAGTATTTTGCTAAGAAGTTCCGGCGAAAAACTTAATGGGTTATGTCAATTGGTAGTATTCACCGCGAAATGTAACAAGGGTCCTAGTAACGTATAAATCGATGCCTCCAATGAACACTATAACTCAAAATTTTTAAATTTTCGTTTTTCACGCAAATCGCTTCACTATGTTAAAAGTATTACAATTAATCATTATTGATGGGGTTCGAAGCAAGAGTAAATCAGCTAATTACACAAAAAAACCATAAATATATCTGCAATAATAAAGATTTTATCAACTTTTTTTGTTTAAACGCTCCTCCTGTAAACCTACGAATTTGGAGTTAGCGTAGTGTTCATTGGAGGCATCGAAATATAAGGAAACAAACAAGACGTGAATAAAGCGAAGTCTTCGACTTCAAAAAGTTCTTACTTTAAAGTTTTAATATTCTCAGCTGATCCAAGTTTAGGTTAATCAATGTTTTACTTGAAATTATAACGATAAAATCGATTTATAAGTTTATTATTCATAACAAAGTAATTGACACCTGCAATTGAATTGAAAAATGTGTTTACATAAAAAAAAACCTTTGCACTTGCACCAGTAAATGCCGGTTGGCGTTCGCAATACGCTATTATGATATCCAAAGAACGAGAGAGAGAGAAGTTGAGAAGTGCGCGTTTGGGATGGTATGGATTGTATGTGATGAGACGAAATGAAAATGAGGTTGATAAGAGAGGGTTAACTATGAATGTGGAAGGATATAGAGGAAGGGGTAGACCTAAGAAGAAATGGATGGATTGTGTGAAAGACGATATGTGTAAGAGAGGAGTGAGCGAAAAAATGGTATAATATGATAGAGGAGGAAGGAGAAAAAAATATGTTGCGCCGACCCCAGGTGACTGGGAGAAGAGCAGGAGAATGATGATGATATCCAAAGAACGCTGATGCTCATTCTCCGGTCATTACCTTTTACGTTACAAGGGGGGTGTTGCTATTCTAGGCCAATAACACCAAAAAAAAAACCACAGTCATCTGTCCATATACGTTAATAAAATAGCTTTTCAAACAAACTTGCACTCTCTTATTTTAAATGGTGCTAATAGATAACGGCGCTTTACTTTCTATAACAAAATTTGAAGTTTTTCCACTTTGGTATGTTCTTATTCAAATTGTTATTTTCAAATATCGTTATCGTTCTCTGCTGGCAGATTACCAACCAAGTCAACCCTGTAGTTAAGATTTAAAAGATATTGCCAACAGTTCACTGCCAACTGCAAATACATTGAAACACGGCTTGCATAACTCACAGAGAAACTGGAAAAATTTAGTACAAGTTCATTAGGGCAAAGCTGCTTGTTACTCCAACAATCAAGTGATTAGTATTCATGATAATAAAGTTTTGATTCCAATTCATTCGTTCAATTATATCCTAATAATTTTCAAATTGCATCGTTCGGGTTTTTTAAAATATCTCTGCACTGATTCGTTTACTATGCTATAAAAAGTTTAGCGGTTCTATCTCATCCTTGTAAGAAAAGCTGATAAAAACTAAATGACAACAGCTTTCGTATGAAGATCTGTATTTTTTATGTCAGTTATATTTCGGCATCGCGAATAGGAAGCCTTGTTTGGTTTATGTGTATGAGACGTCCATTGCTTAAGGTACTGATTCGTCGCAGTCGTTTGGTTGTAATGCTATTTTCTCAGTTATCATCTTCACTTGGTAGTGTATATCTACTGGTGAAAGTCTTATTTGGCTTAAAGGACACTTCGCTTAATACGCTACATTTATTTTATTAATTAAAGGTCCGTTTTATTCGAAATGAGTATCAACAATTCGATCTTAGCTGAAGAAGTTTTTTTTGTTATGATATTTTTTCCAAATTATAAACTTTAAACGACTCTCATGTAATGTGAAAAAATGTCGCTTAAACCAAATAGCCTTTCACATCCCGATAATAATATGCAAGTTTAATTTTCACGCGGTAAATTTATAAATATTACTAGCAACCAGCCTTGCTTCGGTTCGGAAACTGTAATTTATTATTGATTTATTCACTATTTAATGGATGTTATTATACATATAAACCTTCCCCTTCAAACACTCTACCTATTAAATAAAACTGCATCAAAATCCGTTGCGTAGTTTTAAAGATTTAAGCTATACATAGGGATATAGGGACAGAGAAAGCGATTTTGTTTTATACTATGTAGTGATTCTTATAAATTTAAAACTATTTGTTCCACATGGAAACGGTTCACGTAAAAAATAGCTCATAAAACGGTTATATATAATCATGATGTCCATGTAAAATGTCTTTAGCATAAATCATTAGAAAGCGTCATAAAAATATGTTACGGTTATTGGACACGCGGGCCGCTTTATGCTCGGCGCAAAGAGAAACAAACAACACTGAAGCTGTAACGTTAATAATATAGATTGGCCTATATATAAAACAAATATATAAAAATTACATAAAGTACAATTTAAGTTTTTAGAACAAAGTTTACGTATTCGAGTCGTAATCGAACCAATCGAATAAAAAATAGGCGGATATTTAGAGAGAGAGAGAGACAGAGAATATACTTTATTGCACACCAAAACACAATTTACATTCAAAAAACAGTCAAAAAGCACATAGATCTGTACAATAGGCGGTCTTCTCGCTAAAAGCGATCTCTTCCAGACAACCGTTTAATTTAGAGAAATTCTGGAAAATATAAAAATGTAGTAGGTATGTTGCGGTGTACCATTGACAATACATTATTATAGAAAATATATACATGCAATAAATAGATATATACCGTTTACCTATAATGTGAAATAAATATTTGATTTTTATACTATTTGTTAGATAGAGGTTTATAAACAACTAGCGACCCGGCTCCGCTCGGGTTTTTAACAAAAAATTCAACGATATTTGACGTTTTTATTTTTTTCAAATAAAAGAACACTTATTGTGGCATAACTATGATAGTTAGACTTAAGCTGTCGCGACACTTTTTGTAAATAATAATGTGTTCTACAAAGTCGTAGTACCAGTGCCGGATTAAGCTAGCGCGGGGTTCGTTGCAAATTATTTCAAAGAGCCCTTGATCTACTATGGGTTCTTAAGTATAAAGTGGTAAAAAAACAAATCAATAGTCTATACGTTTGTTTGCCATCTATAGGTTACAATTTTGTGGGTATTTAGTAAATTACTATAGGCGCTGTTAGGCTCTGACAAGTACAAAAAGCCAGAGATGAGATTTTCTGGCTATATAGAATAATTTTGATAAGAAACTAACAATTGAAAACTGATGATTGCTTGCATACGTAAGACTTTTTGTAGAGCTGATTATCGGGCTGATTGAAATTCTACACGTTTAAACAAACAACTTTTTCTTAATAAGTCACTCAAAAAATTAAGCTCGGGCAGAGATGGGTGGGTTTAAATATGCGGGGCCCCCGTTCGCGCGGGGCCCGTAGCAATTGCTATTCTTGCTACATGGTTAATCCGGCACTGCGTAGTACATTCATTTATTCATCATCAATAGTTTTCGCACGGCACGCGATGTAAAGAAAATTTTTTAGGTTTTTTTTTACATTATTGGAGTTTTAGTAAGGATCCCTAATTTTTTTCAAAAACGATTATAGCCTATGTCACTCGGGAATAGTGTAGCTTCCAAAGAGTGAAAGAATTTTTCAAATTGGTTCAGTAGTTTCGGAGCCTATTCAATACAAACAAATCTTTCCTCTTTATAATATTAGTATAGATAAATATAGTTAACGTCTGCGGTATATTATCTCAATACGATATTCCTATCGGACTTCAACAAAGAGGTGCGTTTCCTTAAAATTAGCGGCAAAGCATATCCGAATTTCAACACTAACAAATGATTATAGAATATTGACAAATCGAAAAATACCGTGGTTATCGGACGACAGTATCTAGACAGCTATGTATGTACAAATCAAGCATTGTCCTTTGTTGTTTCGAAGAAAAAATATCAGATACCATTCTGAGTAGTTAGGTGTAGTCTGATACAGGCCGTCCATGTATAATTTTTTGCTATTTTAATACGCTTTTATTAGCTTCAAACGTATGTATGTTTGTAACGGAATCTTTGAACATGATTTTGACCCCCTTCAAAACGTCGGATTAACTCGAAATTTGGTATACTTGTTAAGGACCGATTACGTATGAATATAAAAAAAAATTGAAAAAAAATTAAATTGAAAAAAATTAAATTAAACTAAAAAATGACCAATAAATATTAGTTTAAAAAAAAACAAAAAAATACGCGTTTACAGAAAATCCAACTAAAAAATAGAAAATCAATTGTAATAAATATGAATTAAAAATAGTGTAAGGAAAAATGATTTTATTGTAAAAAAACGTGGGGTGTTTTCAGGATATTATCAAAATAACCCTTCTACTCATATTTGTTCATAAAATTTTAATGACTACTGATACCATGCACCACACGCTTTTTTTTACAATAAAATCATTTTTTCTTTTATTTATTTTATCATAGAATCTTGTTTCATGCAATATATTTTTCAGAAAAAATTACACAGTTTATTATGTGGAATAATGTGAACGAATCACTGTTGCCTGGTACTTGATGAAGGCAAAGGTCAAAATAAGCAAAAATAGCTGCAACTCAATGTTCCGTTCCAATACATTAGTAGGAAATGGGGGATCAATAAAAATGATAACTGTTTTCTATTAGTTAGTGTAGCTCGGAGACTCGTGATTTGAAGTATAATAAATAAATGCTTGTAAACGCGCTGATATTTGTCTTATGTCTACAGTATGTATGTTTGTGTAACGTAACGTGATTATTTGTTTTAAATTTTCGTGGCTATTTACATACTCGTATTTAACGGATTTTTATCACTATTTTTAAGAACCCATTCATTAATTAGTGTGTATAATGATTATTTCTATATATAAAAATGAATTGCTGTTCGTTGGTCTCGCTAAAACTCGAGACCGACTGGACCGATTTGGCTAATTGTGATCTTGAATTATTTGTGGAAGTCCAGAGGAGGTTTAAAAGGTAGATAAATATGAAAATGCTCGAAATTTAATAAAAATAACAATTTTGTTTTTCCTTTGATGTGTCCTCTGTCGGATTCCTTTTGTGTGTTTAAGTTTATTTTATACAAAAGCTTAGGTCTTTTATTTATCGATTGAGGCACTACAAAGTCTGCCGGGTCAGCTAGTTTAAAATAAAAACTCATAAAACTAAGAATCCCTTTACCTCAAAATGATTCTTAATTTTGTGGGGTTTTATACGAGGTCTTCCAAATGCAATAAATAAAGGAGTAAATGTTAACAGATGCAAAGACAAGCAATATCCAGAGTTGATGCCAACGACGAGCGTAGTTATAGTGTTCCACAACGAGGCTTGGTCGACTCTAATCAGAACTATATGGAGCACGATAAACAGATCGCCGAAAGCTCTGCTCAAGGAAATTATTCTCGTTGATGACGCTAGTGAAAAAGGTGAGATTTTATATTACATTAAATGAATTTTTGTGCTTAGTACGAGTTTGTTAACGTCCTCGATATCGTAAAAGTTAACTCGTATGGAGTTGGAACTTTTGCCTACCTTGGCCGCTAGGGGCGCTGTTCCAATTGCATACAAATTTTAGTTAACTTTATCGCTATGGAGCAGATTAAAAAACTCGCACAAAGCACACTGTTAGGTTTTTTTTTTTCAAGGTGTTTTTACTTTATTACATTAACTGACTTTTCACATGGATTCTCTTTGAAAAATCTTTCGTAAAAACTTTGTGAAAACCAGCACAAAAACACAACGATAAAGAAATCTGCCAATTCAATACAAACGTTTTAATTAATGTTAACTTGTGGTCACACTAAAATCAGTACTGAATACAGGAAGTTTACTTTGATTTACGTGAATTTGTATTTAAATACAAGAAATTTTCTTTTTATCGTTTTTAAAACTAGGTACAATAATGTAATCATTCAAATGTAATTACTCAAATTACGTAAATTCACGCTTTGTTATGAACATGCTAAGTACAATTTTAATTGTCTTGAAAACTTTATCTTGTGTTTATTTTACCAATGTTTGGTTTACAGTTAACAATTGATAATTTATGAAAATACCTTAACAGTTGGTTTGATAAAAATAGCTGTTTCAATAGATCGATAACATATATAATATATCTATATATGTTCATAGTTATATCCAAAGTTTATAAAGGTTATCCGTATTGGTTTTTATTTTATTTTAATTCGATTCCAACTATAATAAAATGATGATTAATGTATCTTATATTCTGATAAGATTATTTAAATTTAAACAAGACAGTATTGAAGTTATGTGACGAATATGATATCTGAGTCGTCTATTATCAAAGGTGGCAATCTGTGCATTTGGACAAAAAAATGTTATTGATATGTCAATACAGATTGACTTGAATATAATCGTCTCCTTCAAAGAATACGGTTCAAAACCTGCATTAAATAAAGGTTATTACTTAACCTGTTATTTATCTGAGATGTCCTTCAGAAGAGTTTTGTGACTGCCAATGGAATACAAAGTCAATAATTCGTTTTTCTGATTTACCAATAATTGTCCAAAAGTCACATTGCCGGCTTTGATAATAGTCGACTCATCTGTCATCTATTAATTTAAAATTTTTCATAATTAATTTATTTAATATAAAAAAAAAGAACACAATATTCCTAACCTAAAAGTACATGTTATTATCCGCAACATGCTTCGTCAGATTACAGAAATAAAGTTATCAGCAACATGCTTCGTCAAAAAGTACAATACTTACTTTCAGCTGCAAGCGTCGTCATAAGTAACAAAAAAATTATAACTTAAACACATTTGTTCGTTGATTTATTCCTTCTTTCTTAGAGTTTCATGCATTGAATAGGTCAATCGATGAACAATAAGTTATGAGTGAATCGTTAAAGAAAAATAACAATATTGGTATTATTAGTTATTTACTTAAGTCACAAGAAATCGTGGTAAAGTTAAATTTGTAATGATTCATTCATTCATACTGTACTAAGGCTGAATATTGTTTTACGCTACAAACATATTCTCAGGGGCCATTTTTAGGCACTGGTGGCAGGTCCTCTTGTGAGTCCGCGCGGGTAGGTACCACCACCCTGCCTATTTCTGCCGTGAAGCAGTATTGCGTTTCGGTTTGAAGGGTGGGGCAGCCGTTGTAATTATACTTGAGACCTTAGAACTTATATCTCAAGGTGGGTGGCGCATTTACGTCGTAAATGTCTATGGGCTCCAGTAACCACTTAACACCAGGTGGGCTGTGAGCTCGTCCACCCAACTAAGCGATAAAAAAAAAACACCTTATAAACACTGTTAACCGATATTTTATTTTAACAGAACACCTGGGAAAGAAGCTGGAAGATTACATAAAGACATTGCCCGTTTCGACTCGTCTCTTCCGTACAGAGAAACGGTCCGGTCTCATCAGGGCTCGTCTGCTCGGAGCCAAACATGTACTCGGTGACGTCATCACCTTCTTGGACGCACATTGTGAATGTACAGGTGAGATTATATAGCCTTCTCTCCTGGGCAGGTAAGATGTTCCGTGAATCATCCCGCGCTCTCAATCCTGAAGTATCATAGTCCCATTGAAGAAGACTGATTAGTTGACGCAATATCTGTTGGGACTTCCTTTTCCGTATTCCTTCCTCAATCCCCTATCCATGCCATCTGTTGACACTACAAGAAAAACTACGCGATTATGAAAATGGCGCGAAGTGTTTAAGAAAAAAACAAAAACATGGTGCCGGTGCAAAAACAATAAAATTGTGATTTGTTGATCAATCAGCACATAGAACTCTCGTCAGTGAGAAAATTAAATAGTGCATCAACGAAATACAGAGTGAGTCCTAAACCTTATCCTTTTCTCAGTCCCAAACAACATCTAAATTCAAAACAATATCCCGTTACCCGTGAATGATGGCTGCAGTATTCGTCTAACAACACATTGATTTATAATCTATACTAATATATAAATCTACAGTGGTTTTTACGGATATTTCGTTATAACTACCGAACCATGCATCCGATTGACTTGAAACTTTGTATCCATGTAGAAAATATATGTACTTAATGTATAGGCTAATATTTATATGAGTGTTAGACTCCGTACACCAGTTGCGGGGGCGTTAATGATGAGAATCTTTGTGGGGGTGAGAAATAATAATGTTAATTTTAAATGCCCAGCGAAGCGGACGGGTACAGCTAGTTCATTTATAAAGTCCGAAGGGAGGAGACGGAGATAAGATATCAATTCATTAGGCTTATCATCAGAAACTGTCATAACGAGAGGTAAAAGGCTATTTGTTTTAAGTGACATTTCACTTAATACGCGACTTTTATCTTTGTAATTAAAAGTGCGTTTTATTTGGTATTAGCATCAACAGTTCGATGTTTTTAATTTAATTTCAATTAAGTTTACTCTAATAATCCAATCGAATAGCTGATTAAGTTATTGTGTCATGGCATTTTGTCCAAAATTTAAAGTTTAAAAAACTTTCCTGTAAAGTTGCAAAAATGTTGCTTACACCAAATAGTCTTCCACCCCTCGATATTGTCATTTAAACTTTTCGTTATAAAAGGGATTTACGTATACATATACTTTCTATGAAAATGCAACAAAACCTCATTGAAAATATCGTCAGTTCTAAAAAGGCCGAATATTTTTTAACGATATACTTATTTACTTTGTATTAGTGACCTCTGTTAAAGTATCGATAACTATTACACCATCATCTTATAAACATGGTGAAATAACGCTAATTGCCATAATTAATTCGATCGCAGGATTTAGATGTTACTTAGGTTTTTTTTCGATGGGCAAACGATTTCTCGTACATCATACATTGTCTATGTGTGCGATACTATACTGTTTTAACTAGTGTTCGTGTTTTAATTATTCTAGTAACCTGAGAACTTGTATCTCAAGGTGGGTGGCGCATTGTAGATGTCTATGTGCTCCAGTAACCACTTGACCAGGTGGGCTGTGAGCTCGTCCACCCATCTAAGCAATAAAAATAAAAAATCTAAAACGTTGTCGCATTACAGAGGGGTGGCTGGAGCCACTGCTGGCGCGCATCGTGGAAGACAGAGCGACGGTCGTGTGTCCGATCATAGACGTTATTTCGGATACGACATTCGAATACATTCAGGCTTCCGACATGACGTGGGGCGGCTTCAACTGGAAACTTAACTTTAGATGGTGAGTACCTTTTTAAACGTCGTAAGATTAAAGTACTCTGTTGGAAAATAAATAATCTATATATTAATACGTGAAGCAAAAACTTTGTATCCCTTTTTACGAAAATTGCGCGGACGGAGGAGTATGAAATTTTCCACACTTATAATATAGAGAAGAAGTGCACAATGCTAATATTTTTTTTAAATAATGCATAAAAGATACATTAAATCAATAAAGAAAACATTACACACACTACATACACCCATAACCCTGGAAAAGACATTTATTTATCATACAAATATCTTCCGACAAAAAAACCGATTTTGTGTCGTTGGCCATTGTACCGGTATTGGGTGTATGTTGTGTTTATCAAATGATTATCTAGTGATTATTTATCATTCAAAACACTATAACTTTAAAAAAAAAACAAATTCAAGAAATTTATTAATTTGTTGCATTATAATAAAAAAAAAGTGAATTTATCAAATATTAGTTCCAGAATAAGAACAATAGCCGTTTACGCGTTTATATTGTTAAAAGTTACGTAAAAATATTGAAATTCGTATTAAAATAATATTATATTGAATATTGAAAATATATTTTCTCATCGCGTATTATATTATACATAATTGTTTCTTTACAAATTATGTTAATTCGTAATTTTAGTATTTGTTCAGGTGGGCGCGTTACTTGTATAAACAGACGAAAATAAACTGTTATATATTATATGCTAATGATTAATAATGTGTTATGAAGGTGTATATTCCGGCGGCATGACTTTTTATAATTTGATAATTTATAGCATAGGAAATGCTAATAACAAACTATTGAATGTGTACTCTTTGACAATGGCCTTTTAACTCCCCCTCGTATTCATTATTGGTGGATGCGTTCATAAATGTAATTTAAGAACGTATATGCCAACTAAAACTTTTTTTAAATATTTATTGCTTAGATGGATGGACGAGCTCACGGCTCACCTGGTGTTAAGCAGTTACCGGAGCCCGTAGAAATCTACAACGTAAATGCGCCACCCACCTTGAGATATAAGTTCTAAGGTCTCAGTATAGTTACAACGGCTGCCCCACCCTTTAAACCGAAACGCATTACTGCTTCACGGCAGAAATAGGCAGGGTGGTGGTACCTACACGCGCGGACTCACAAGAGGTCCCACCACCAGTAAAGTAAAGTAAAACCTATTTGTAGGAAGGAAAACAATTGATACTAAGAAGTAATGGGAGCCCAGTGAGGGACCATCTTCCTGAACGTTTTTCCGAGATTTGAAAAGTAGAATGGCACTTATTCAACTATTATTGATACTTGGTCCTTTAGTCCCGAAGTGATTATTATGGGCTCAAATAACCTACCATCACGCTAATTTCTAAATAAGCTGAAACAAATGTGTTATGTGTAAACTTAGTCGAACATTAAGGCGGGGTTAAAAAGTAATCGCCTAATACCAGGCGGGTCCTCGTTCACAGATTTAGAGAAATAAATTTAAAACTTAAAATTTAAGCGGAGACAAATACAAATTTTATACTACCTATATCTGGGGACATATTGCGGGATTTTAGTGCAGTTAAAACTTGTATCAACAATCGACATGTATATAAAAAATGAAATTAAAATGCAATAATAGCGAAACTATTTAAGTACCGTGTTCATTTATTTTACAGCCACCGATAACGTTAACTAATGGTCTTTAAAATTACATTTAAACAACAATAAATTGTTATTTTCCTTCGGCCTCTTTTCTGAGTATTTTTTATACCACTAGATGGTTTAAGGAGCTCATCTGGTCCTTCTGGTGTTAAGTGATGGTACCAGATAACTGTAATACCAACATAAGTTTTTAATTTTGGTATCCCAATTAAGGGGGGGGGGAGGAGGTGTCATGACCCCCTCGTCCCTATTCTGATAAGGAAGACCTCAATGGTCTTAATACATTGACTGCCATCTAGGTCACCGGTGCCTTACGCGGCGCACTGAAGTAATTATGTCGATTTTTTCTTACTAAGGCCTCCCGAATATCTAGTAGACACTGGGAAAAACGAATCCGAAGATACTGAAAATGAATCTTTTTCTAAGAGACCTAGAAAACTAAAACATAAAATAATTCAGGTGCCTTAGTCACAAAAATCGACATAATTACTTCAGTGCCCCGCGTAGGGCACTGAAGTTATCTCTAATGGAAAAGGCAAAGGACTTTAGTCCATACAGCCAGGTCTTGTTCTTGGTAATAATTGGATAATTTTGGTAGTTTTATAGGCTGAAGCCACGTCTTCATTGTTCTTGATCGTAAGGCCGAAGCCACGTCTTGTCTTATTGTTGTCATGTCTTATACTAGGTATCGCGTTCCCGAACGCGAGATGTCACGACGCGGAGGGGACCGTACAGCGCCACTTCGTACCCCGACCATGGCGGGCGGACTCTTCGCCATCGACAAGGAATACTTCTATAAAATCGGCTCTTACGACGAAGGCATGGACATTTGGGGCGGCGAGAACCTTGAGATGAGCTTTAGGGTAAATTATAAAAGCAGGTTTATAATAATGACATACTGTCTTGTGTGTCAATCTAATGAAATTATTTATTTACAGTGAGTAACGTGCATCGAAATTTGTCGCTTTATAACTGTGTTTACTACGTGTTTAATATCGTAAAATGTGTGTTTTGAGCTAACACAATAAACGTGATAAATTATATGGCACTTAAATAAATATTTACGCGGAAAATTTGTAAATGAAATAAAAATGTAATTTACATTTCAATGCACGTAACTACCGTTCAGGAATGCTATGTGCGAATGTGGTGTACACCACAACTCTATCACAAGGGAATAAAGGTCATTATAATTACGAGAGAAGGTTACGACGAAATTTGTTTACGACCTTATCGAACTAGGTGGGGGGGGGGTCATTTCTATTTTATTCTATTGTAGCATAGTTTAAGGACTGACCACCTGTGAAGTTTTCGCGCAGGATTATAAAGATTGGAATTAATTGGAGGGTTTTCAAAATGAAGGTTAACACGTTGACTGCCATGTACGTCACCAGTGCAATACGCGGCGCACTGAAGTAACTGTGTCGATTTCTCTTTTTGTTCTTCTTACTAAGGCGCCGGAATATCTAGTAGACTGGGATAGACGAATCCGAAGATACTGACAATGAATCTATTTCTAAGTTATCAAACAAAAGAAGGCAAAGTTTGGCAATCCCGGCGCTTAGTAACAGATATCGACATAATTACTTCAGTGCGTCGCGTAGGGCACCGGTGACCTACACGGCAGTGAATGTGTTAAAATCCAGACTATGTCTAGAGAATAGGGTTGGGTAAATTGTTTTCAACCTTATGTCGTGGGTATTAGAGGTCGTTATAATTGTATCGGGTGCACGAAGGTGTGGCAGTGCGGCGGGCGGCTCGAGATCGTGCCGTGCTCGCACGTGGGCCACGTGTTCCGCGACAAGTCCCCGTACTCGTTCCCGGGCGGCGTTCAGAACGTTGTGTTGCACAACGCGGCCCGCGTCGCCGAAGTCTGGATGGACGAGTGGGGAGATTTCTATTACGCCATGAATCCAGGTTCGACACTGGAATGCGAACGTGTCTGTGTTGCCGGCTTTTTGACGATAGAATCGATTAAAACATTTAACGCCCTCGTATCTCAGCTAGCGCGGTCAGCTTTGTGTGTTTTAAAAAAGAATAAAATACAATATTAATTTTTGTCATAAATACTGGCAACATAGACACTTATAAAGTTTTGTTGTGGCCTGGGAATTACACTAACCATGTGTTTAAAGTGTTTTTTGAGAGTCCATTAACGATTAGCTTGTTAACATTGCGGCTGCATTTATCCTGTCTGCATGTCTGTACCTATTGTTTGCCTGCTTTTATTCGATTATTTCTTTGTTCATTTTTTCATTTCATCATAATTATGTTACTGACTTAAACTCTTTTCATGATTTTTATGTTTCTCTAGTATTGTTTGGTTTTTTCATACTACTTTAAAAAGTAATTTTTTTATTGTATTAAAAGCACAATTCAATGACAGCGTAATATTGAAATTTACTGTATTTCAAGTTAAAGAACACGTTTTTTTTATTGAAGATCAGACAGATCTAAAGAGCTTAAACTATACGGTTGTGTTAGCTCAATTAGTACTTAAGAATTTCGTTACACGTATTCTTGGTTCATCCTTATCCCAGATCCAAGGTACCAAGTATTGTCATTAAATAAACACACCATTGCCAAGTTAGTTAGTTAGTGTTACAAGAATATTATTAGATGTAGGTGAAAACTACCGAGCTATTCAAATTAGTAAAAAAAAATGTACCGCTTGAAGATAAATAAACATCTTTTATAAAAGATAAGCCGAAACTTTGAATAACAAAATTATCTTGCTGTGATTCCACTAAGAATGTTTATCTGGGGAAAACTGAAAAACACCTATAGAACCGAATCAACAATGTTTTATTAGTATTATAAAATTTTGATTTTCAAATTGTTCTTATCTACTTAGGGGTAGGCAGCGGCTCTGTTTTGCACCTGACACTGCCGGTGCTTAAGAGCATTGATGACCACTTACCATCGGACCGGCGTATACCGTTTTGAATCGATGAGAGTGATGTTAGCGAATGCAATTATTCAAAAGTGTGTAGTACACATTTTCGTATTTGCTCAATATATATTTATTATTCAATTAGCTGACCCGGCAGACTTCGTAGTGCCCCAATCGATAAATAAAAGACCTAAACTTTTGTATAAATTAAACTTAAAACAAACAAAAGGAATCCGTCCGACGGGGGACACATCAAAGGAAAAACAAAATTGCTACTTTTTTTTTAATTCCGAGCATTTTCATATTTATCTACATTTTAAACCTCTGGACTTCCACAAATAATTCAAGACCAAAATTAGCCAAATCGGTCCAGCCATTCTAGAGTTTTAGCGAGACTAACGAACAGCAACATATATATAAATTTCTATAAACGTGTTTCTATAATATTGATAAAAATATATGTGTTTTTGTTCTTTTTATTCATTTCACATTAATTTTCCGTTCTTATACTTTCTTTTCTTTTCTGCTTCTCACTAATGCAGAGGCAATGAGTTTTGAGCGAATTCAAATTATTGTATGTGTATTTTTTTTAAATATTAACCACAGCAATCCTTTTAGACGGTGAGCTATGGCAAACTCAATGATTACTAATTTATACCCACAGTCATAAAGTGTTATTAATTTAAATATTAATCTGTATATATTAGTTAACAAGTATTAACATTTATCACATTTTATTGCACAGTAAAAAAAATATGACGCCACTTTCTATTCAACCACACACACAAAAACAGTGTTGCCATAGCTCTCTGTTTAAATTATCATGGCTTAATGGAATTTTAATGTATTGACTAATTTCTTTATCGGAGCAGAAAATTAATAACTAACAATTAGTTTCATACTAATTTATTTGTGATATTTACAAACTCTGTTTAATCTGTGTTTTTAATTTTAATTAATTAATGATCGATTATTTTTTCCGTGTTATAATTTTCACTAATACGCTTGAAATTAATAAAACATTAGCTTTGACCTTTTTTCCTTAAAATCATTGTGTCCATAAATTGTTTGAGGAATGCTATGTATAATTTTTATGGACATAATTGAACTCATACGTTACTGGCCGATCATTTTCTCGGTTTTATTGAATTATTTAACTGGTATTGATTGGAGTAGGAGACGCGATTTTTTCCATTTTAGTGATATCATTATCTTCATATGACAGCCTATGCCCAAAATTAGGCATTAAAAAAAAACAAGTAAATGGTATTATTTTTTTATTTTTTCGCATGAAAATTTATGTTTAAAATACAAGAACACTGTCCTTAGTTTAATACCGGAAAGAGTCAAGCCTTATATTATACTACATTCACAATTCGAGATATTAGTGCATGATGTTACAATGTGGGTCTACTATGCTCATATTCAGTAATTATTTTTTTTATTAATTTTACTTCCAATACTCATAAAATTCAGTGTACAGTTACATAAGAATGTGACAAAATAAGAAAACAGTTTAGTAATTTGAAAATTTCGTTTCGATAATGCGTTTCCACGTACGAGATGATCGGTCAGTGGCTGTATGTGTAAGCTGGGGCTACATTAGCGGGCGAAGATTCGTGTCGCGTTGGCGCGCTAAAAACATCGTGTACGGGCGGGCATACGTAATGCTCTTGTCTACATTACGACGGGCTAAGATTTGTGTCGCGTTGACGTGATACATCGTGCCGGGCTGTGTTGTGGTGTGCTGTGCGATAGAGACGTAATTTAAATACAAATTCACTCCATGATGTACAAGAAAACAAGCACGATCATACCGCATCAAAGTCTGGACGACACTGAAGTGACCGGTAATTGTAGCCACCGAAGCGAATATTGTCGCGACAAATCCCTTTGATACCCGCCAGATTACCGACAGTCTCGGTCATCGTTCTCGTCGAACCCGTCGCTTACGACGAAGGGTTCGGCGAGTAAATTAATCCACAACAGACACAGCCCACTGAGTTTCTCACCGGATCTTCTCAGTGGGTCGCGTTTCCGATCCGCCGGTAGATTCTGCGAAGCACGGCTCTTGTTAGGGATCGTGTTAGCAACAACATCAGGTTTGAGCCCCGTGAGCCCACCTACGTCTAGTCTAACTATCGTCTTCGCACGAATAATAAATAAATTATAATTTGCGTAATTACCGGTGGCAGGACCTTTTGTGAGTCTGCACGGGTAGCAGTAATGCGTTTCGGTTAGACGGGTGGGGCAGCCGTTGTAACTATACTAAGACCTTAGAACTGATATCTCAAGGTGGGTGGCGCCTTTACGTCGTAGATGTCTATGGGCTCCAGTAACCACTTAACACCAGGTAGGCTGTAAGCTCGTCTACCCATTTAAGCAATAAAAAATAAAAAAAAGAATCCTACGCGTTGCAACGATCTACTCGGCCACACTCATCGCGATAACACGAATATTCGCCGTGGCCCGCTAATGTAGCCCCAGCATAACGGGAGCGGGGGGCCGGGCAGGTGTGGATGTGCGGGGGCACGCTGGAGATAGCGCCGTGCTCGCACGTGGGGCACGTGTTCCGCAAGACCACGCCCTACTCGTTCCCCGGGGGGACCGGCCGCGTCGTCAACCACAACAACGCTCGGCTCGCCGAAGTCTGGCTCGATGAATGGAAACACTTCTACTACAATATTAACCCAGGTCTAATTAACATACGCAACGCTAACGTTTTACTGAAATATCGGCGGATTGTTTTTTCAAAGAAAAGTGAAAAAAAAAAAGAATAAAATCTGTTACTATAATTATATATATCGACGCTTGAAAGGCAAACGTGACTAAGTGACAATAACTGCTATATACATAAATAATAGGCAATAACCATATTCGATGCGCAAAAAAATATATTTCTAGGTCTATTAAGATCGTCTCCATCCTGCAGCTAGATTCGTTAAAATATTTTTTTTTTCTGGTATTTCAACTTTAAATTAGTCTGTAAAGTTCAAGCATTGTCGCTTAGTCACGTTTGCCTTTCAAGCGTCGATATACATATACATACAAACGATTGCAATAACCAAAAATTATTTAAGAAAAAAACCAGTAAGAACACTTAGCTATATTTCAGTAATCGATCGAAATCACAGTCCGTCTCAGTCCCTATAGAAAATATATTTATGCCTCCCTAGAAGCTAGTAAATATACTTTTATCTATTAATCATTCGTTGCAGTTTATTTTTGCAATAAACGATTTAAAATAAAAACAATTAAATGTGACTAACAATACTATTTTATTTATTATATTTAACAACTAATATATTAATAATTCTCATTTAACTTGCGACAAAGCGTAACGCATGTTAAATATAAAGCTAATATTGTTAATATTATCCAACCATGAGCTAACATAACATTTGCATTCTCATTGTTATTGGATAACATCGGGTTCGTTGCTTACGCACTAACATTGATGCAATTGTAGAAAAGTGTGTTTTGTATCGTTTTTATTATTTGTTGTTTTTGATAAACAGATATATGTTTTACAAATAAACATAAATAATGTAATTGTAATAATTGTAATAAATAAAATAAAATATTGGAATTATTTTCATAAGAAATATATCGTACATTAATAAGCAATGTTGAGTTTGATTACGTAGGTACATATAGCTTCTAAAACTGAAATAATAAATAAATTAATTTTGCTGCAATTAATTGATTGGATTCGAAAACTATAATAATATGATAATTTTATTGCGTATAACAATTCTAAATATTGAAGTATTGGTTAGGGCATTTTCTTAGAAATTACAAAGGGAATATTTAATTGGAGCGCACTAATAGTTGGATGCGATGAGCAGGTGCGTTGAACGTCCCGGTCGGTGACGTCAGCGAGAGGAAAGCTTTAAGAGAACGTCTCAAGTGCAAGAGCTTCAGGTGGTACCTCGAGAACATCTACCCCGAGAGTCAAATGCCTCTCGAGTACTATTACCTTGGAGAGGTGAGGAATTAGTAACACATATTAACATATTTTTCTATCCTTCAATTCGAAGTGCGTGACTTCATTGTTGTGTTCGCCCGTAAAATAATTCTGTAGTTTTTTCTTTAATCTTATATCTTTAAACGAGCAATTCTTGTATATAAATATATATGTAAACGGCTCCAACGATTTTCATAAATTTTAGTATACAGGGGATTTCGGGGGCGATAAATCGATCTAGCTACGATTTAGTTTCAGAAAATGTTGTTTTATTCGTATTTTCAATAATCAACTTTATCGATAATTTTGATTTTTTCTTTAAATGACCAGTTCATATTTTATTATTATTCTGTCGGTAAGATCGAAAAATATTATTCATATTTCATCATTTTATCAATATGTAACTGGTATTTATATATATTTTCTAAAAAACTCAATTTATTAAAAAAAAAAAAAACGAGCAAAGCTCGGTCATTATCTAGTTTTATTTTATTAGCAAACTGCTCTCTCCTAGAACATTTGTCACGAGGATGGTTTTAGCTATTTCCACTATTTTGTTCCCTACCTGTTCGCTGGTAGCCGAAGTGGCTATTCTAGCTACGCCCGGACGCGTAGGTGAGCCCACGGGCTTGACATGACGGAATGTGCTAACTAGTTTTAACAAGAGCAGTACTTCGCATAGTCTACCACCGGATCGGAAACGCGACTCACTAAGAAGATCCGGCAAAAAACTCATTGGGCTCTACTAAAGTATGCCAAGAAACTCAAATTACACATACGTGTAATGGAATCACCGGAATTAAGTGATCACCGAAGCCGCCATCCAATGGTTCAAGTTTCAGACTGTATCGTATATAATATAATATATGAAGTACTGCCCTCCCTTTCAAATTCAAACGTAAACCTTGGCGATGGTACCTATCCACTCGTGCTTACTAAACCACCATCTGTGTTACCACCATAATGTTATTTCTCCGTTGTTAAAATCATAAAGCGAACACATGTGTTAGTTACATATTTGCTTCGAATAATTATTGACTGCTTACGAGTACAAAGGGTGTCTTCGAAGTACATAGTTGTGTTTTAATAATTTTTCAGATTCGTAACGCGGAAACATCGAACTGTTTGGACACCCTCGGCGGCAAGGCTGGCCAGCCGCTCGGCATGGGCTACTGTCACGGAATGGGAGGCAACCAGGTAAATATGAACGAGTATACATTGAGATTTTTTAATATCTAAATTTTAGGTTAACATTTAGATATAATAACACTTTTGACGTTTTATTTTTACACAAAAGCGTACTGCATAATGGAGAACTTTTTTATATTTATATATGTATTTATTTATGTAGGCAAAGGGAACGTAGCCCATACAGCCAAATGTATTGTTTCAAAGACGGAAGCAATGTGTGTTTTATGAAAAGTGAAATGAAACTGATCACGGAATCAAATTTTTTTTATTGCTTAGATGAGTGGACGAACTCACAGCTCACCTAGTGTTAAGTGGTTACTGGAGCCCATACACATCTACAACGTAAATGCGCCACCCACCTTGAGATATAAGTTCTAAGGTCTCAGTATAGTTACAACGGCTGCCCCACCCTTCAAACCGAAACGCATTACTGCTTCACGGCAGAAAATCGGCAGGGTGGTGGTACCTACCCGTGCGGACTCACAAGAGGTCCTACCAACAGTAAAAAATTTGAATGATATTAAAAAGAATTCAAGTCAATAACGTTGCAAAAAAAAATTGTCATATCAAAAAATAATAGTGTGGTCAGGATACTACGTTTTTACCTTACTTTAAGTACCTTAAAATGAACTGGGCCTTAAATTCGTATTTGTATGTATTTTATGAATAGCTCAACAAACTCAAATCGGTCTTTGTTCATACTAGACTTTATTTTTATAGGTGTTTGCTTACACGAAACGCAAGCAAGTAATGTCGGACGACAACTGTTTGGATGCGGCGCATCCGCGTGGACCCATCAAGCTGATCCGGTGTCACGGCATGAGGGGCAACCAGGAGTGGATATACGATACCAAGGTATACTATAATATAATATATATTAGACATTTGTCGTATGAAATATATCAGTACATATGAGCGATATAAAGGTAACTACGCTTTAGGCTAAATTAAAAATGTACCAGAGTCTAAGTTTCTCCTTCAATTACTTATATATTTATGTAAATTTGATGTGTTTGAATCAGTTTTTAACTAATATATGTAGCATTGGTAAGAAGTGTGAAACGGAACGTTAAGGTATGAGTAAGAAAAAACGGTAAGTAAGGGAAAAGAGAATGACAGACAGGATAACAGAGAAAAATGAAGATGGCGAAGACGATAAAAAGAGCAAGGCGCAAAGGCGTGTCAGTTGATTTTTAATTATTATAATAAAGAAGATTTTGGAAAAGAAAAGTAAAAGTATAGACAGCAGTACCACAACTACCCCACCTATTTCTGCCGTGAAGCAGTAATACGTTTCGGTTTGAAGGGTGGGGCAGCTGTTATACCGTGAAAACAGATCTTGACTAATATCTCGAGGTGGGTGGCGGCATTTACGTTGTAGACGTCTATGTGCTCTGGTTACCATTTAACATCAGGTGGGCCGTCCACCCATGTACAACAAAAATCACGGTAGAATTCGCTCTTATACCATTCAACGGTAGAACTTGTGACCTATCACCCTCGCTCTGACCGACCTCACTTGTGTGCCTGCAGACGCGGACAATAAAGCACACGAACACGGGCATGTGTCTCGACAAGCCGGACGCGTCGGACGTGTGGAAGCCGGTGCTGCGGGCCTGCGACAAGTCCCGGGGACAGCAGTGGCTGATGCAGGTCGACTTCAAGTGGCAGGCCAGGCGGAACCAGAACAGCTAGTCCCCACTCGCACCGTGCAAGGTCAGGATGCCATGTAATTTAGTTGAAACGATCGATACAATAAAGTAAAAGTCATATACAGGGTGTTTTCGAACGCTGCCTGAAACGGAACTGGGGATAATGCATTTACTTACCTAAGCCAAGAACAATAGTATAAACAATCAAAACTTATATGCTAATTGGAGTATAGATGTTTACGCAAACGGTTTATTTGTGACATTTGGCAACATATTAAATGTGCACAAATCGTGATGTTGTATGACGTGCTCCAGAATTCAATTAGATTAGATTAGATTTCTTAAATAAGCAGTACCTTTGTACTAAACTATTACAAATGAATATAGTTATATTATGATCTTGTAAAACAGCAAAAAAAAACCTATGACAAAGAAATTTTAATTTTTTGATTTGTCAAGTATAGATGAGTAATTAACTCGTATGATAGCGTTACTTTACAAGAAACTATTAAGGAAGTGTAGCCTCTTAAATTCATTAAAATGTAACCCGATACGCGTAATAATTTAATTCTTGTCAACATCGTTCAATATTTATTTTATTAAAATCAGAAACTTACCTTGGAAACATCACTCTGTTGACTACCCCGCGAGGTATGCTGAACTATACTGTAACAACCATATTATAGTGCGCCGTGTCTTTATTTTGTTATTTTTACATTTCAGGTTTGACAACGATAGACCATACCAGTCTTCCTACACTTTCATTATTTTATATCAGATCTTATTCCTAAAATAAAATTTATATTTACTAGATTTTAATGTAACACACACGAGGTCCTATGAACCATTGACAATACATATTATTATGCTGTAAATCACAATGAAAGTTGCTCAAGTAGATATTGTGTGTTTTGTTTGATGTTTTCGTGTATTCTATTCAGTGTCTATAGCGACTTACTTAAAAGAAATAAAAAAAAAAAATTTATAGCACACACAAAGGAAGGGCCTTACAAAATATATTTCAAGTTTAAAATCCTATATTAAATTTCATATTTTACTATTTGAATTTTTGTTAGCAATATGTTTTTTTTTTTCAATGTTCGCTTTTATGGCTTTTCGAAGGGTATCAGCCAAAACATATTAATACAAAATCGGTTTGTAGCCTGTTTTAAAACATCAAGGCTATTAATAATTATAGTTATTCCATCACTGTAGAAATAAAACGAGTTTAATATTATAATTAGATAATATTGTATAAAATTCCCACATATCTTTGCCCCTTTCGCTGATTTTTTTAGTTGTCAGAGAAGTAGTATTCTAGAAATATTTTAATTATTTTTTTCCAGAACTGAATAGAATACACGGAAATAATGTAATTGTAATAAAGAAGAGAAATATATGTTTATAAATTGTGTAATAATTCATTATTATTATAACTATATTTTTATGAGCTAGAGGTTGTATTTAGGTAATGTTCATTTGAAATTATTCTGTAGAGTCGTTGTATTTACACGATAGGTCATTAAATTTATGATTACAAAAAGGATGTATATGGCACTCCGCAATTTTATTCTATTTACAATTTATTAGAGTTAGGAACTAGACAAATATTTTTGTTGATTTCACTCCATGGCAAGTAAGTTTGATATGTGTTAAGAAGTGCACATTATATTCAAACCGTTGGCAGAATATCTATTGTTCATTATGTTGGTAGATAACATAATGAAAGAAAGATATTGTTTCCAGCAGAATACTGGAAATAGCATATCATTACATATAATGATGACATTTATAAATATTTTGCTTTATTTGAATGTTTGCTTGTATTCAAAATATTTATACAATATGAACTCTTATGAAAATGTATTTATGTATTCTCGTTAAATATTATTTAAATTATATGTATATAGTCTGTCTCGTTCGATAAAAAAAAGTTACATTTCCGCTGGTCCAGCCATTTTTCATATAAAATGATGTCCTAATAGCCTCATTAGACGTTTATTTTACTCTTTTGAACGAATTTGAAAGATTTTTTCATATCTGACTTTACTAATGGATTATTTTGAAAATTATCTGAACTTGTGAAATTCTGGATTTATTATGAAACCCAAAGAAGCGAGTTTGTTAACGTTATCGATAGCGTAAAAGTTAACTTAAATTTGTTTGCAGTTGGAACAGCGCCCCTAGCGGCTAATGTAGGCAAACGTCTTAAGACAGGTGGCGATATCCACGTTATGATGTCCATATTGCGATGATGATCTATGCTAGGGGTCGCGACCATGTAGGGATCGTCAGAAGGTTGTTAGAAGTCGCTATTGTTTAATTTTTCAGTTGATTTAGCAGCTCATAATACGCCCTCGCTAAATCTTTTCTTCCACTGAAGGGGTCGTAGTCGAAAAAAGTTTGCGCTCTACATAGAAACATTAAATTAGTAAACAGGTTTTTTCGAACGCTTTTCTTTGTGGTTTTGTAAATGTTTACGATCCGTTATTTGTCTTCGTTTTTGGCACACTGTGTAAGCTGTACATACTTTCCCTAAATTTAATTTTTTTGTAAGAACCTTCCATAAAGTTTTGGATTTGTATTTTTTTTTTAAGTTTTAATTTAGTTAAAACGTACTTTACATTCAGGTAGCATTGTAGTATAGTATAATGTTGAGAAAGAATATTGTCATCGTTGATAGATCATCAATAATAAAACAACAGTCATCCTATCTGTTGCCTTAGTTATTTGTAATCATTCACGTTATTCTTAAGTCATGTGTTAATAATATTTTAGTGTATTTTTAAAATACTTATTGTGTAAGTCTCGAAGGAATTGCCTGTAATTTTCTTATAGTGGAATTATATTAGATTAGTCCCATTCGAATTCATTCCTTTGCATTTCAAAAACTTAGGATTGACCCGAACAACGGGTGTTATCATTTCACTTTTGTAGATTGTACGTTTTCGTAACAATTAGGGCCCACTTATAATCCTCTCGATGCCGAATTATTATTGTTGTAATTTTATTAAAGTCTGCACCGGGCTCGAAATGAAAATATTCTAATAACTATTCTAATATATGTATGCGGAAAAAACATTCTTTGCGCAGCATTATTTGGATACGTTTTTTTTTGTAACTGAATTTTGCTTCCCAGTAACAATTTTTTTCGCTTCCTTACCCGATATCTAAAAATAAATTGATAACTTAACAAAAAATAATAATTTTATTTAAAACAAAATTTTCTAGCATATCACTATTATAATGTTGTAAATGAAATTTTTATTAGGGAGTTAAATATAATTGTTATTTATTGCAAATTGAACAATACATCACAGACACGTTGTAGATTAATAGACTATAAAAGCATTGCATAGAGCGAACGAAATTAAATTGTGTATAATAATTGAATGAAGACGTCACGCCCTCTGTATGTTAAAGGAAGATTCAACTTTATTTAAATATATTTTTCAAATTTCTTTTTACGATGATAGACTAATAGAAAGTTTTCAATTGCAGCGTTTCTTTGGTATTGGGACGTAAAATGACGTGTCATCCAGTGATTTAAGGTTTATATATTGATCAATTGCATTTTATTAAAGTTTACCAATATTTATTCAAGACGGTTTTCACAAGACATTAGTCATGGGACATTGAGGAGTAGCTCGAAGATATAGCATGGTCTTGTTGAAATTATTCAATGGATTTTATTCTTTTAAAATAAGGCACTGTTTAGTCATCGAAGCTAATCGTTCTGACAGCAAAAACATAGTTATCCAGGGTACGTCTTATTCGTTTTGTTACGCGAAATAAAGTGACCACTGCCATTTCATTTTATATATATTTTTTAAAAGTTATTTGCATTCTTAACAACTCTTAGTTTATGATTGATTAATTGGTAAACAGGTCTTCCGAATTATGGGAATTCGTTTACTATAAGATCGCTGTAATGAACTACATAATCTTTTAAGCAGTGTTGTTTATAGTCTGTAGTTTGTAATCCTATTTGTAAATAAGTTGTTATTACGAAGATTCGTCCGATTTACAACAAAATGTTATGTGGAACGAGAGCATTTATTTTATCTGTTTAAGATTAGAATCTCAGTTTGATTTTTTTATGTAATTCATGGTCAAAGTGCCAAATTGATGATGACTTGTGTTTATATATATATATATATATGAGTTATAACAACAAATACACCATTCCAATTAACATGTTTAGGATTTTGACTATTGACAAATTAAATATTTGGACTGAAATTGATTTTCTTTTATTTAATAACTACAATGTTCCTTTTGTGTCTGAGATCTTTTTATATTTGTGTGGTTCTTGAAAGCAGAGCTCATTTACATGACGAGCTTTAAGGGAACTTTTAGTCTTTAAGGATCTTATCGAGATTTATAAGTCAAAAACAATTCCTTTAAAATATTTATTACAATTAACTTTGTACTTATCAAGCTACCTTACACTTAAAACATTCAAAACAAATGCATACACGTCATTCTATATATATATATAAAAATTAAAACAAAATGACTAATTTCGCTTAATATGGGCACACAAAAGTAATCAATCCCAAGTTAAAAAGCACTAAAACGTGCTTTCCATAATCGTAATAAGTAAAGACGATATATATGTATATATTTATATATACAAAAATCCATGATACGGTGGTCATATTAGTAAGAATTTAAAACAATAGAAAATCGTTAAGACATTTTCATAATAGAAGAAATAAGTAAGTTTAACATGCAGGTTTAAAACCAAAATAGTTTTGAGTCAAGGAGAAGACGTGATAGCCCGTTTGGTATGTTGAGATCAATGACACAACCCCACTCTGGTATAAAATTTAAAACATTTCAATTATTTTATTAGCACCGGTCCAATATTTCCAAGAAAATTTAATATAATATTGACACAAAGTACGTTATTAATGTAACATCATATTATGTCTGTGTTTTTAGAGTGGGCAGTGACAGCACTAAGGGCACAGAACATTTTAAAAGGTGCAGTGCTGTGCCAAAAGTTAGTTACTGATTGAAAAAAGATAAGTTTTAGGGATTACCACTTTTTATTGGCTTAATCTTTTTATATACACATAAAAAGATAACCGTTGTCTTAGACGCTACAATATGTTTATGTTGTAATAATATGATGCTAATCTCGGGAGATATTTCTATAACTTAGAAAACGAATATTAACAGATTTAATTATTACATTTTGTGTAACTTGAGGATGTACGGTGCGTAGATTACAGCTACGCATCTAGATCATTCGTTATACACAAAAATAAGGATCTTTGGCAACACTGAACGTAACGAAAATAACAACTCCTGGCAAGACTGTTCCCTCTGTTATGTACAATAGTGACGCTATAATGTGCGTTGTGGTCGCGCGGTGACGTCACGACGTGGTCCCAAAGGGCGCGGCCCCGCGAGCCTCGTGTCACTCGTGGGGCATCTCTTCTGAATGAAGCCAACTGTCGTTTTCCGCTCGCGCTAACTGCTTGTTTAGACTGCAGTACAGTTTTATTAAGGATTCCTGTAAATAAAATATATTCCTAATGACAATTGCGAATTTAATGAAACTTTTTTTTTTATTGCTTAGATAGGTGGACGAGCTCACAGCCCACCTGGTGTTAAGTGTTTACTGGAGCCCATAGACATCTACAACGTAAATGCGCCACCCAACTTGAGATCAGTATAGTTATAACGGCTGCCCCACCCTTCATGGCAGAAATAGGCGGGGTGGTGGTACCTACCCGCGCGGACTCACAAGAGGTTCTACCACCAGTAAAAACGCTACGTCTGTTTTCACAATTATATATATAAAGTGGCATAACCCACAATTTTTCATATTCGGCTTATATATTGCAATTTATTTAAAACATAATAAATTTTGATGCAAAACCGCCCTATCCATAGTTTAATTTAGTCCCTATAGTTTTAGCTTTGTAAACATTATATTATTTTTGCGCGTATTGTTTTTTCCTCTGAGGCAGCGTAAAAGAAAAATCAAACCTCATTCATTATCTTTATACTAACTATGGTAAGCTTTAGGTAACTTCTGTACTGACTGCTTCATATAGGAGCGTGGTCCGAATGGGAGCTAACTGCTTGCTATCTTTTGGAAAGTCATTATTGGCTATTTAAGACCAATAACAATGAAAGTGAAAGCAACTAACGTGCGTATCATTCTTATAAGATATTTAGCACTATAGTCATATAGTATGAACTTTTCTATATTTAGTCAAAAAGGATCTTTCTATTGTCTATGTTGACGAAACTCAATAATCTATTTCAATCAAACCAGATTTTTTCACTGTTGCACTAACAATTTGAGTATATAAAACTTTACTTGGAAGATCACAATTGGATGGAAAATACTAGGTTTTATTTAAATCGAATCAAGCATTTACGAGTCAACAGTTTTGAAGTCGGAACGGAAAATAGAAGAAGTTTTATTGAAGTATTTGCCATGTAAGTAAACATACTTGTAGTTCTCTATAGTTTAAACCAAGAAAATTTGAATACGAGGAAATTATATTCGTAACATAAGACAAAATAAATACCTTTTCGTTTTCTAATTGTATCATTTCTCTCTTCTGCCGTAATTCGTCATCATCCATTTTCTCTTCGAGTTCTGTTTTGTGATTACTGAGATATGCTAATTCGGTTTGGATCTGGAAGTAATTTATTTAGTCACAAGTTAGAGTTTTAGAAATGTAAAAATTATCTATTGATAAACATATCATTCATTCCACTCATTAGAGGTATGCGTTAACCCTCTTATCGTGGCCACCGCTAACAAAAATACGATTTAGGCTACAGGACAAACAAAGCAAAGCCGCTGTCACCCAAAATATATCTTGTATGATCCTCCGGATCCACTCTCGGTGCTTTTAGGTTCTTTAAGCATCGGTCATCGTCTTCGACAAACTTGAAGAGTTCGATCTGCGACCCAACCCATAGACACAATCCACTGAGTTTCTCGCCGGATATTCTCAGTGGGTCGCGTTTACGATCGGGTGGTGGATTCTGTAAAGCACTGCTCTTGCTAGGGCTAGTGTTAGCAACGACGTCGGGTTAGAGTCCCGTGAACTCACCCACTCGCTCGGTTAAGCTGACATTACCAGCTTAGGTAGAAAAAAAAAGATCTGATAAAAGATTTCGCTACCGATATTGCAGTTACCGTCTGGTACTAAAATAACATAATCAGAAACTTGCATAACTGCCACGCTTAGTTTTTCTCAAAATGGTGCGAAAAGGTTTTGAGAATTGATTTTCGGATGAATGTTGGGTTGTCGAACCTTTCGTCGCATTCGACGGGTTCAATATGAACGGTGCCGAATGTGGATCTGGAGAATCCGAAATTACGTCTTTAGGGCGACAGTATATCGTTCGATCATCAGACGTGTAATTTGCGGCAGCCAGGATGAACCCTCTTATAGCACGGTGTTTTCGAAGAAGTTGGAGACTATAGTAATGTTTAGCCTATCTGTTAGAAACTATCCGTTATGGTAGGGATTAATTTGTGGGAATTTACGCAGTTGACCTTCGCAAAAAGGTTATCATATCGGAGTTTACCACTCCTTCAAGCTTAGCTCGCGACGTGACGGCAAAAGCGAATACCCAAGTCGTTGTGTTGCGTGGTATAGATTGACTAACTTACAACTTCCATCCAATAACGTATAGCAAAGTAATAAAAAATCTTCGCTTATGGTGTCCAATATTAATCTATTTAGAATTTTATTTTCTAGTGAAGTTAAGAGTTTTAAGAATGTGCTTGTACCTTGAGGTATTCCTGCGCTAATTGTTTGTGCTTCTCGAATATCCTCTTGGATTCTTCGTTTGAGAGATCGGGCGAGATGGGCCGCAGGTGCGGGTCGAGCATCATGTGCATTGAATCGAGCGCGGGGTCTGGCTCGGAGGCCGGGGCGCCGCCCTCGCCACCTGTTGAGCTACTGCTGTTACCTGTAAAATTAAGTAAAGATACCTCTAAATCATTTCTAAGTTGAAGTACATTAATTTATAAATGATATTGCGATTGCGTGGAAGTAATGTTGTGTTCTAAGATCAAGCAATAGATTGTAAACGCTGGACGCTACACAGGGAAACTTTACGCAGTATTATCAATACAAGGCGAACCTTATGGCGTGTGTTTTCGTGGTAATACAAATACAATCGACGAAACATCAGCTTTATTACGGCATTTAAGTAATTCAGTAAACTAGATTACATTAAATTCACGTGTGATTGATTATATACATTATAAAAAAATGTGCAATTTGATTTATCATGTAATATTATAAGAAAACATGATGCTGTAAAATAATCTATTAAATTACCTTTTTAAGACAAATACATATAATATTTAAGTATCTTCATAATCTCTCAATCAATGTCAAGGCACAAAAGTTAACTTTTGTCATAGATCATGAAAATGTTGTTACCATAACAAAATTATGTTAAAAAAGCTATATAAAGTTTTGATTGCCACAATTTGTTATGTGCATATCTATAAATACGCTACACGCGTATTTGTATAAAGTAGGCAAACAAACAATTTACGTAGTTCTCTGAAGGCACAAACACGTTATTCGACTAGACTCAATATTACTTATGGATCATCGTACATCAAACTACAAGGCAATTGAGTTTATAGTAACATATACAAAAATGGAATTAATAATTGCTTGTTAAAAAAAGTTGTAAAATAACACATTTAACCGATAAAATGGTGGCTACAGCGTTTTTATTTTTATTTTTGCCTAATTTAATGAATAAAAAGAACATATACATTCAATTAGGCGAGTGACAAATTTAAATAAATTAGAATGTCGCTTAAGCCACAGTTCGAAAACAATTCAAACGTTTTAAGATTTTTAAAGGAATTGGTCGCGGTTGTACGGCAGGGTTAAATACGTCAAGAGTTAAATTTACTCTCGACTTGCTGATGTCAGACGCTTCACCTAGATTTCGGATTTCGGCGTTCGATTCTTTTCCCTGCGAATAGATGGCAGCAGCGAACTAAACAAGGCGACGTTGGGCAACACTAGAAATAATGTTGGGGCAGCTGCAAACAATGCATTTCAAGAAACGATTATTGTACTAACGATCGAGAACCGACAAACAACTATGGAACAATTTTTCAATACACGTTCTATTATTAATGAATATGTTGCTTGAAACACGTTATGGATTGAGGTAATATTTAACAAATATGTTAGTTTCTTGAAGTTTCCCGTGAAAACACTGAGTTGAAATTTTATTTTCTTCTTTTTATATTTTGTTAAGGATATGGCGTATGATGGTGGTAGGAAGTAACATAAACAAGCGAAGGGCGGCCGACGCTGTTGACGCAAGAGTTGTTGAAGGGCAACAGTTTCTTGCATATCCTCGGATTGAACTTGCGCGACGGCACTCACTATAAAATATCCAACTACAGCTGACTGCGTCCCTGATGGTGGTTACGATGCCGGTGGTGGCGTCACACGCGTCGATGCGGCGGAAGCGCGCTGGGGGCGCGGGCAGAGGGGGCATGGCGCGTCCTCTCGCTGAGACAGTGCGCCGAGCACTGCTGTGCACGCCGCCGTCCGCTCGAAATAATCGGCGGGAGAGCCGGGAGCGGGCGGTGCAACAAACAAACCGACGCTATTCGTGGTGCGGTGACTCAGCGACGTCAGCCCGAGCTAAATGCGGACACCGTGTGCTGCCGCCCTTCGTGAGGTTTTCTGCCATTTTCGATGGTAGGGCGCACGCGCCGCTCTATGTGCAGCCGGTCGACGACCCGCGCCCACGACGATGCCTCTTGCACTCGGCACCGCCGCCGGTTGAACCCACCACCGCCATTACAGATATCCGTCCATGCACATCTCACTCGTAGACTATCAAACTAATTGTTTTATTTGAAAAACTTTTCGATTATGGTTCTTTTTGTTAAAGATGAAATACTTTTTTTTCCTATCTATGCTGATAGCCTAGAGAGGCTATATCAGCTTCGCCCTAACGTGTAGGTGAGCTCACGGGGCTCAAACCGGAGTGTTGCTAACACTGGCCTTAGCAAGAGCAGTGCTTCGCAGAATCTACCACCGGATCGGAAACGCATGAAATACGAGTGGCGAGAGCTTCTATGGTAAATGCAACTGTAAATTTTTGGTTGGTCAAAGACGATGCAATAATTAAATTATACGTGAAATAATCGTTTTACAGTGATTTTCATTTGATTTTATTCTTAGGGCTTCATTTTTTTCTAAAGTGCATTGCTAGACGATTGCAGTAATGTACAAATGTTTCACGACATACGTATTACACAAACTTTTGACTGAAAACATTCGTAAAAAACAGATCTTGAACAAAAATATGGGTTAGTCTGTCATGTTTTGTCATTTGGAATTAAATATGTGGCTAAAATTGACGAACAAACAGTAGCAATGTTTTGACGTAAACAATGAATTGAAAACAATAACGTAAACAGAGCCGTTGATTTATGCACTTGCGTCTGTTGGCAACTTCAGTTGAGATATTAATCATTTTGTTAATAATATATGTTTAGAAGATATTAACAGAGCAAAGATCTATCTGAACAAAAATTGATTTATAAGGGAAATTACGTGATATTTAGTTTGATGCGTAATCGTTTGATGGGAGCCAATCGTGTAAAATTTGTTTTCTTAAATTATTTATAATTTGAATCCGCCCCCCCCCCCGCTGTCCTAATTTATTCATTCCAGGCTTATCATTTCAGAAGAATGATTAACAAGCGCCAGGCAGAAGGACGATGGAAAACTAGGAACCAAATTAAGCTACCTACCTCAAAATTCTTGCAATTTTGATTCTGTTTAGGTATAAAAAAAACAATCTGATAAAAATAGTCTTTGTTAAGAAATTTAATTTAGTGTAGTAAAAGGTAAAACAGCATACGCAAGATACTGGACGCAAGTTTCCCTTTAAAAATACATTATCATTTTAAACAGGAATATGAACCGAATCTTGCTACTAATTAGTAAACACGTCTTCATGTCATCGGGCGCGTTAACACGTGCCCTTAGGAAACAATTTTGCTGGCATAACGTGCCAACTCACTCTATAACTTACGCAGATCCAAAAGAGAGCCCATAATTCGTAATTATATTTATAATCGAAATAAACTGTAAAACATTTTTTTCACTTGAGAGGAAAATAAAAGTATGAATCAATTAAGGCATTTTGTGGAAGGTTTTACGACGAATAGAGAAGATTTTCTACCGATGATATTTCTCGGTAGACCAACGGTCCGAATGTTGTTGTTCGGAACTTGTATATAATAATACTATACAAGCTTATCTTGAAAATATCGTAAGCGAGATTCAGGCATCTGTCAAACATCTTGTTTTATATGATAGCTACCGCCATAATTTCAATAGGAACAGACGAGCACTAGTAAAGGATTCAGAATGCGATCAGATGACATAATTCCATATTGTTGTCCAACCATTATTAAATAATAAATAATTTAAAAAGTACAAGGTTTTCGGTGACAAAGCACTCCGATCTTGCTTGTTATTATTATTGCATGAAGAGCATCGGTACACGTCCTTGACCGATATGTATTATGTATTTATTTACTGCTTAAGCAAGCATCTTGGCCTAGCCCTATTCGACCAAACAGGTTCAAACCTTTGTTGGTTTTAGTTGGACCTAAGAGGTTAGTTATAACGTTCTAAATAAGAAAACATTGTTTGGAATAATGAACATAACAATGTATTAAACTAATTTAGTTCATGCACAACTGGATTTGTAATTAAGCACACTTACACAATAAGATTTTTAGTACCTTCATATATTTTTTAATTATATATATTATTACAGGAAATGTTCTCTGTGGTCAATATTTAGAAATTACGAAGCTACTAATTACAAGTCAGGGTGATAATTAACGAGCAAATGGCGTAGTAAAGGAAACGCTCGAGTGGATCTGTTGATGGATCCAATCTGCTCGAACGTGACTAACACTGGCCATTTTACGACTGAATTTTGATGAAGCACGATATTTAAATTGGAAACGGCAACACTAGCAGAAACTAACGAGTTCCTGTAGTACAGAAAATCTCAGAAAGATTTTACTTTATTACAGTTGTTTGACGCTGCGTTTATTAAAAAGAGATGCAGTATCTGGATTAATATTAAATTATACCAATGTGTTCAGTGAAGTACATTTTCATTACTTTCTTACACTCCTACTTTCAGTTATTGCAGGTTAGCCCTCTTAACTGCGTGGTTCGTGAGGAACATCGATCTACATGACCTGTGCGTTGAATTGATCCGCAAACGCATGAAGTTAGCGTCGGAACGGTACTTCGATAAGGCTATGCGTCATGATAATCGCCTTATCGTTGTCGCCGCTGACTACTCCCCGAATCTTGATCACGCAGGAGACAGTCACCGTCGACGCCGTAGACACGTCCTTACGGATCCATCGGATCCAATAACTCTTGTATTAGGCGCCTTCAGTTCTAGAATTAGGAGCAGGCTTATTGACTCCGGTAACCGTATTCGTCGAACTTCGCAAATAATTCGACGTGCAACTTAACCTAAACAACAGTCCGCTGAGTTTCTCGCCGGATTTTCTCAGCGGGTCGCGATTCCGATCCGGTAGTAAATTCATTCGCGAAGCAGCTGCTCTTGAGTTGTTAGGTTTCGTTTGGAGGCGCTCAGTTAGTTGTCAGCAAACCCCACCCTTCTGGCTGAGCCCGTGCTCGCCCACCTATCTTGGTGTAACTGGAAAGGCCTAGGCCACCAGTAAACCTTCTTTCATAAACAAAATCTCTCCCTGCCTTTTCCCACTCCCCTATCTCTCGTTCTTTCTCTCCTCATATAGGATATAATTGCTAAAGTCACCAGGAGCAATGGTTCTTACAGATTCGTTAAAATTACATTTACTAAGTTTTGGTTGTTTGGTAAATCTGCCAACAATTTTCAAACTTTTAAATTTAAGTTCCGGAAAAAAGTCGATTGCATTTCATTGGAGAATATGGTGAAAGAAAGTCGATGGTACGATTCGATGCAGCACTTCTGTTTTGTAAATTTGTAGAAATCTATATTTAATATGGAAGTCTTTTTTGGGTTAATATCATCTGAAGTATTTAGACCCGCTATCTTTATTTCTAATGTTATTATTGAAAAAAGTTTATTGGGATAAAGCATTTAATAGAATTGATCAAACCAAACGTTGCACATTCAAGTTTGGTTTTTTTTTCTATTATTGGTATCGGAAACACATTCGAGACACATGTTTGTACTTACACACACACATTTGTACTTACAAACACAGTTACGAATATCTCGAATATAAGCAAATTTTAATTAATATAATGATCCCGTTTGGTTTGGAAATTTCGTACTTCTGTAGTCGGGGACACTAATCTGACCGATAGACCAAAGAAGCGATCAAAAAATAAACAAATTATTATTCATTTGGACAGAGAGTTTACAGGCCATCTGGTATGAAGTTTGTACTGGAGCCCAAAGGTGGCCCAAACAATATGGATGCCGTCAACTACGTTTAGGAACTGGGCCAAATATAAATTGTCGATCATATGTTCTTCAAAAAAGAACGCATTACTGTTTCGTGACAGAAATAAGTAAATGATGAGACACACCCGTGGAGGCATATAGTAAATACGGGTTACCGATCGCAATGTACTGGCATAATAGGTAGAGAGGGTTGCGACCCATTTCTTCGGTAAAGCATTTTGCGACAACCACGGGTGGTAGTGATATTCAAAGTCAGGTCTCTTAAGCTGTAGCCGGGTGTTTCAAAAAAATTCAATTTGGGCGGATGTAATGTTCTTAGCGAAAGTCAGCCAGGCATGACTACGATTCTTTAGTATTTTCTAATTTATTATTAATAATAATTCATTAATGCAGAAATCACACGTCAGAAACAGTCCTTGCGTCAACAATATTCAGTTAACGTCACATTTGGATAATCAAGCCACGTGTCGACCGAGAAACATGACGTCGTTTAGATTAACATCAGAAAAATGACGTGTGATGAAGCGGATCTTGGCAACATTATTACTATCATTTGGATCACCGTTGAAAAGATAAAAAATACTTTAAATATTTAATGAATATTTTTTGTATTCACCCTAATTTCTGCTGCTGTTTATTCCTTCAAAATCATTATTCAGACGACTAGGTAATTGTTACGTTCATTGTAACGCGGAATATGTTTTAATATTGCCCGAAGCAAATTACTAGCCAGAAATTGCACGAGAATCAAAGGCCAGTAAGATTATTTGTTAAGAAGCAAGAAATTTATTTAAGTTTAGACTTTAGATGGTATTTATGTATTTTCTCCAAACTCAAATCGTATTGCATGCCGCTTTGATTGCGTCAGTGTAGCTGTGACACCACACAGAAACTGTCCAAGTGGCGACACTTATTCTATTAGTGAAGCGATTTATGATCTGCTATATGACAGTCAGGCAGAAATCGGTTAATGCTTTCAGACGTTGAAATGTTACGACAACCGCCGGAAACTTTGTAGCGGTAATGCGAGAATGAACAACTTTAGATTGACAAAATAAAAAAAAGGGAATCGAAAAATCTACAAAACCTCGCTATCATAATATTCATAACATCTCACACAAAACTACTGTAAAGGACGGTGCTTATTATACAAGAGCTCCATAAGCTCCATTGGATAAAAAAACTTCTATATTTATAGACATAAAGGCAGCAATTTTGAAATATGATCATAACGAATAGAATTTTTGCGAAGCCTAAAAAACTAAGTTTTCCTTGTTTCCAATAGCCAGAAATTCGGCGTAAATTTCAATAAGTAAAAATTCAGTCGGTTTATAATTTCGTAGT